GCGCAGCTCCCGCGGGGGACGTTGAGTCAGTTGGGCACCAGTGCTGGTGCTTACAGTTGAAGTCTCCAGTCAGTATGACCTGGTACGAGGACATGGGGATAGTGACCAGGGCATCGGTGAGCATGTTACAGAAGTGATTTATCTCTGTGCTTTTGGCAGAGGGTGGGCGATAGGCATTACAGACAATAATAGGCTTTGGGGAGCCGGAACACGGTTTAAGCTCCACCCACACTGTTTCACAGGTAGGGCGACTGAGGTCGTTGCGAAGTTGGATACAACTGAAACGATGATCACGAACGAGAATAGCGACTCCACCATATCCCCTGGAGGCGGTACCAGACTTGTTTTCGTTAGGAGGTCGATCACGCCGAAAGGTGGTGTATCCAGAGATACTAAGAGCGACACTTGGAGCTAACCAGGTTTCACTGAGGCAGATAATGTCAGGTCTGTGGATCTCGGCAATAGCCGACAATTCTGCGGATTTGTTGAGAACGGAGCGGCAGTTAATGGAGAACAAGTTTAGCTTTTCCTGGCAGCGCGGGTAGTAGGGCCGAGCCAGTGGATTTAGGTGGGAATTGGCCATCATTCGCTAGCTGTTGCGACATCGTTTGTGCTGGTGCCAAAGCTGTCACTTTTGAAGCGCCAGGGTCAGATGGTGTGGGAAAGCATGTCAGGCCAGAATGCCTTATTGGCTACTTTCTCCTCGTCGGTTGCCTCCACAGTCACGCGTGCATATGCAGTCCTGAAGTAGGCTGATGCATAGACGACGCATTGCACTATGTCGACCCCATGATCGGAGCACCATTTAGCAATAGATGATAAGGAGCAGTGAGGTTGCACGTTCCCTATGTAAAAGACCTTATGCTTTGCCCGCGGCGCTGCCGTCAACTCAGCAACATGGCCACCGGCGGGGGGTGTTTCGTTTGTGTAGCGGGACTTCTCCTCGCGCTTGGTGATCAAGGATGTCTGCATATTAGTATTGCCTTCTACGGGTGTGCTTGAACGCTGAGCCCTGCGCAAACGCCTTGCTTGGACGTCCTGCCATTCGGGTTGAGGGGTGTGCGTACGGTGTGAGACGGAGTCGACAGTGCTTGGTTGCTGTACAGTGTGTGCACTGGGCTGGCTGGCACTGCCAGCATGTGCGTGTGTACCGTACAGGGTGTGTACCGGCGGGCTTGAGCTGGAGGGTCCAGCGGGTGCACGTGCAAGTAAAGTTGTTGGGATGTTCCTGCTAGTACGTCGCTCACGGGTGTTTCGCAGCGGCCACTCGTCAAGATGGCGGCAAATCCGAGAGTACAAAAATTTCGACTCTGGCTATGTGCGCGGCGGATGCGAATCTCGCACGTGCATGCAAAATCTAGCCTTCTGCAGATCTGGGTAGAGCAAGTGTACGTGTGTGGGAACGACGACATTTTCCGAGAGAGAATGTGGCTCTTTTCATCCCAACATTTTACTCGCCACGCTCTCCCTCCCAGCTTATTGATACGAGTATCTGCTACCGAGTAGAAGTCTCCATCTTCACAGTAGGCCAGGCAAAATCGCAACGTTGAAATACTTTGCTCACTTGGTGTTTTTGGTCCTTTGAGATGATGTGGCTGTTGTGTACAACTCGAAGTGACAAACTTGAGACCCCCGCGCCACAAAAAACTAAGGCGCGCCACAAAGTTTCGTTTGGCTATTCAATGAACGGATGTATGGAAGCAGGGATAAAAACTATCGTGGCTGCCGGCAAAACTCCTAGTAATGTAATAAACGGGGGTGTGACTTTGGTAATTCCAAGGAGAATGTACGCACGGCCATTCCACAACGAAGACGAAACTACGAGCTCAAAAACACTCCGATTTTCAAACAAACGACGCAGGAAAGAAGACATGGCTGCAGTGTTCCCGTGTGGTCTTCAAAACACCTAATTTTACTTCGATAGCGGCTGGTTCAGGGCTAATTCAGGCCCAATTCGACAGCTTCGTACCGCTCAGATTCGCCCAAAACACGAGAAAATGTACGGTAGATACAAATGCGTACGCATTTTGCGTACGGGGACGACTGGCCAGAGTTCATGCACTGCAAACACCCGTGCGCTGTACTGTGCTGTGCTGCCAGAGGTCGTGTGGCTCCCGTGTACGCGTGGCATGGCATGCTGTGTGTGTACTGCGGTGTGTACGCTATTGTCTCTCAGGCCAGCAATTTCCCGCCTGAGTTGTTGAATCTCAAGTTTCAAGGACGCAATTTCATCGTCTCTGCCCCCCCCCCCTTGTCGCCATCATCTCCTTGTTTAAATCCATTATTGTGGTGGACAATGAGGCTAAGGCAGTCGTTATATCTCCTATACCAGTCATACCTTCCAGGATGGGGTGGGACCCAATCCCCTCCTTCCGGAGTGCTCCTACCAGGTCTGGCCGCGAGAGAGAATCAGATCTCGAGATGCCGTTCCGGGTGGCCAGATTTTGGAGGCAGTCAAACGTCAGAAGGGCCAGGTCGACATGCTCATTGGTGGCCATAGTCCACAGTACAAGTCACAGACTCTATGGGTTACAGTTGCAGACTCACAAACAAGCTGAGAGGATGTTGAATCGCGAGTACATGCAGAGCTTCAAATTTTGCATCCGCTCTACGAGCACCACAAAAACATATAAATTTGCGGTGAATTTGCGGTAAATATGCGGTGAATAATATTGATGTGCGGCAATTTTCAGTGAGTACTGAGTATGTAGTAAAAACGTTATGATTGTAGCGATGCGGTCAGGTAAATGTATTCATGTACAAGCCATTTGTGAAGCATGCCCAACCGAGGCCGAGGCAGTTCAAGTGACACAAATCCGGAGAAATCATTTACGAGGTTTCTTTTACTTTTAGAATTGTGGAGAGCTATGGAGGAGACATACGCGAAGTGCATATTAAACAGACGAAGAAGAGTTTTCTAGTTGTGCCAGAGGCTCTGGTGATAGCGATACTGAAGTAGACACTGATGCATTGCTAAATTTGGACCAGGATGAAGGAGCGGCTATAAACAGAAAGAGTTCGTTCCAAAAGAACTGCTTTTGCTGAGTCCAGCTCAGCAGGCTCGAAAAAAACTAGAATTGCGCATGGACTCAGTACCAAGTCGATTGCTCAGCAGCGCCTGTCCATATACATGTACATGGCTACAGTACTCCAATGCAAAAAATTAAATAATACAAAAAAATTAAATAAATAAAAAATCTATTACTACGCATGCATCCACGCAAGAATCACCACCAACCAATTAGGACATGCGTCAAAGTATTGAACGTTTTCGTTCCCTTCTTCTCAAAATACTACAGGGAATGATGGAAATACGCTAAGAGACCACAACTATAAAGAAAAGAAGTTCATAGATACATCACTCCAATTATGTGTAGAAGTGACACGGAAAAATAGATGTGAAGAATCAAGAAAACAGCATGCAAATCCAATAAGTGACAAAAACATAGTGACAAGAAAAAGAGAGAAAATACCAAGAGATCATGGGATCTATTTCGCACCTTCACGACGAACAGTGCCAAACAACTGCAAAGACAACACATTAGATCCCATGATCTCTTGATGTTTTCTCTCGTTTTCTTGTCACTACGTTTTTGTCACTTATTGGATTTGCATGCTGTTTTCTTGACTCTTCACTTCTATTTTTTCGTGTCACTTATACACATACATGTAATTGGAGTGATGTATCTATGAACTTCTTTTCTTTATAGTTGTAGTCTCTTAGCGTATTTCCATCATTCCCTGTAGTATTTCGAGAAGAAGGGAACGAAAACGTTCAATACTTTGACATACTGTAAACTGCCTAATATTCGTGACGGATTAATGTTCGCTTTTTTCGCGAGAAGAGCGTAACGCGAATATTAACCATCGCGAAATCTAGCTTCAATAGTGGGTGTATGTAAGTGGCCCCAGTGCTTCGCGAACTTTTGCCATCGCAAACTCGCTGGT